CGGTGCCTTCCCGCCCCGCTGCAGGCAGCGCCCTTCCCTCCTTGTGTTTAGGTTTGGGTTTTCTCTCACTTGCGAGGCCTGTTTCGGTTCCTTCCTCAGCTGTGGCAATCCAGGGACGCTGAGGAAGCGTCTCAGCCAAATGGCAGCACCGCCCGTGCGTATTTGGGAGCTATTGCTGAACAGTTTGCTTTAGGGATAGTTCTGATGTTTTAAGTGCAAGTGTCCACTCATGAGCTTGATCTTTTCGTTATTTACCCCTGCTTAGACTTGAATAATCATAATACGAATGCGGTCCTTTCAGTTTTTTCTGAGGTCAGAGTTCTCTGGCAGCATCCAGCTTTCAGGACTATCACTAATACAACAGAAAAGGATTTATCTGCAGTGTCTATTTAATGCCTTAGCTTATTTCCTAGCTGCACACAGCTCTACAAGACATCTCCTCTGACTGTTAATTCATCAGTACCTTTTTTTTATGTCGCAGGTGCTCTGCCGGTACCAGCACATCTGGAATATCGATCTGCGCTTTCGTCCAGCTTTCCTTGGTGGCATAATGCAAGCAACTGGTAGGCAATATGGGGAGATTCGCTCTGTTGGGAATTGCCGCCTTTGCTGGTAGGACACTAGTGGCCAAGAGCTTAGTGAGTGCAGAGCCCGCAGAGCCAGCTTTAAGCTAAGTTTTGGCACCAATAACAAATTAGCTATAGGATTGTGGAGCTCAGTAGTGACTGAGAAATCAGCCACAAGGAATTTCATACTGTGCAACTCCACAGCCACTGTTTGTGGCACATACAGTCTATGCCAAAGTTCATCAGTTCGGAAATAGGATAATAATAATAATTTGATACGGAATGTTTTCCTAAAAGTTTTCTGTTGAGTTCAAACCAGAATTAATTTGTGGAACACTCGCAGTTTGTAATATGCATGAAGGATCCAAGTATGCCATAAAATAGTACTTGTGGCCTTATTAGAACAAGTTAATCACTGAGACTCACAACTCATAAATCATGAAATTAAGAAGCCTCTGCATTTGTTTACCCATGCATTAGTAGTTGTTTAGCTTAAAAGTCATCTGTCTGAATCAATATAAATCCCTGCTAGGACATTTGTACCTTGGTTTAAAACTGATTCTGCTAACTTAAAGGGTTGATCTGTGCAAAACCAAAATAAATTATGTTTACATCCTAGTATTATCTTTGGAAAAGCTGTGTATGCTTCAGTAAGCCAATATGAAATTGTACTCTTCCTTAGGCACACGTGTGGATGAGGTCTAATTTGTCCAGTTTTGTTTTGTCCAGTGTTATAATAAAGTTGAGAATCTCAACAGACCTTTTTCTGAAAGGTAACAAGCCCCCAGCAATGTTGCCAAAGCGTGGAGAGTACATGCTGAAGGATATACAAAGGATGGCAAAATACTACCAAGTGCCTGTACAAATTTCAGAAAATGACTTCCAACGTATCCTGGGTACAAGTAAGTAAGAGGCTTGGCTTAGCTGGTGTCTTTCAATGATCTAGCACTTCTGGTTCAAGTTCTCCCTAACGGTAAAGGTGAAGATGAATTCCCTGTCCACAGCCTCCTCCTGTATCTGTGAGCAATATGAAGTACGTGCATTTTTAACCATAAAAGGAACTTCTGGAGAAATATACTTGTGAATGATATGAGCATGGAAGATACTGTGAATCAACATAAGCTTTACTGTTTGGTGACCGTTACAGAGCAGATCACGCTGTTCTTAGGGAGCGCTTGTGCAGACCATATCTGTTCCTGATCCTGTGCCTTGTTTCAGTATGTTTCTCTGTCTCCCCACTAATCCCAGGCAGTCTTGGGGCCATGCGCTTTCTCACAGCCATTGATATGACACAACCACAATACTTGGAGCCCTTATCCAGGGAGTTCTGGATGCGTTTTTGGTCACAGGTCAGTATTTTGTGAAGCCAGGTTCTTGATCCCGTCTCTGTCACCCTTCCTGTCCTACTTCGTTCAAATGTGGAATTCGAGCAAGAGAAAGGAAATGTCTTTTAAGGAAAAGTCACAGCAGGAAACTTAGGGTCCTAGTGGTACAGAAGCCATTACAAGAAAAGAACTAGCTTATAGTCAGCTTAATTTGCCTTCTTTTATGTAAGTATGGTGAGTCGTCTTTTATTTACTTATGGGCTGAGTGGATCAGTAGTTCATATCAGAAAGCACTTAATAACCTTCCCAGATTAGGTGACTTAAAACTTTTTCTGAGGAAATTTCGCCAGCAACTACTATTGCTTTTATTTCTATTTTCTTAGAAAACTTGCTTTCAAGTCCAGAGCTGAGCTTTTGTTCTTAAGTACTGAATTACTTATTTTATTCTTTTGCCAGCATGAAGATATCAGTCAGCCGGAGAATATGTTGGCTGTAAGTGTCTCCTTTTTGTTGGTGCTTCTACATTTCTGATACAGATTCTTATTGATGGCTTGGATGAGTAATAGACCTGAAGACAGCTTAGTCAAATGATCACTTGGAGTTTTGAAAAATTTCAGATAGAAAAAAGTGGATTTAATTTCCCTAGCAGCTCTGTTTGGAAGGATTTTTGGGTTTTTTGGTCATGCTTTGAACGGCACTCAGAACCAGAATCTCCTTTTTTGTTAAGTCATGTGGTGAGATACCCAAGATGGACAATCAATTTTCTGTTAATACTGTTTTATTAACAGTAGTGAAAGTATGAAGAGGGTCTCCAGCATGCATTGAGGTTTTGCTGCTATATGAAATCTTCAGGTGAAATGCAAGACTTTGGGGGAGCTGACTTTCCTTGGGGTGATGGAGCCAGGCTTTACTATGAAGTTCAGTGCTGTATTGCCCTTTTACATGCTTAGAAATTGTGCTCTTCTGATGTATTTTCTTTTGCTGTTTAGATTTTGTTTATTACAGTAAAAGCTGTAACGGCATGTAAGTTAGTATACCATGAGATCCTCTTTAAGGGCTCTCATTTCTACATTATTTTATTTTTTAAGTTCTTGGAATATGAAAAATAGAGAGGAATTGTCCATGACTAGTCTCTCCTACCCAACATCCCTATTGGAAACCTGAAACTTGCAGCCTTGCTGTTTCCCCAGCGTCTAGTCCTGGCACTTCAGCTTCATCTTAGTGTACCTTTCTTACCAGAATTTCGGCAAAGGTTTGCATTTTGCCTTTTCAAGAGGCAAGATTTGAAGGATATAATTAAACTGCGGTGCATTAACCCTGGTAGGCAACTAAGCACCACACAGGTGCTTGCTCACTTCCCCCCCGCTGCCCAGTGGGACAAGGGAAGAGGAAAAGAAGAATAAAAGCAAGAAAACTTGTGGGTCGAGACAAAATTGCTTAATAAGCAAAGGAGAAGGGGAAGAAGAGAACAAAACAAGTGATGCAAAGGCAATCACTCACCACCTCCCCCAGGCAGACTGATGTCCACAGGCAGTTCCTAAGCAAAAGGTGGCTAACCTCCCTGCAGCCCCTCCTCACTTCTTATTGCTGAGCGTGATGTTACACGGCATGGAATCTCTCTTTGGTTAGTTCGGGTCATCTGCCTTGTGTCCTCTCCCAACCTCTTGCGCACCCCCAATCTAATCACGGGCAGGGAGGGCAGGGCGGAGAGCGAGAAGCAGAGAAGGCCTTGACACTGTTCAACAATAGCTAAAACATCAGTGTGTTGTCAGCATTGTTTTGGTGACAGATAGAAAGCGCAGAACCACAGGAGCTGCTGTGAAGAAAATTAACTCCATCCCAGCCAGACCCAGTACATGAATATAGACAGAAAGTCCTCACATAGTCTCTGAATCTATCATCATTTAAATAAAGCAAGGACATGCAGAACTTCAGAGAAACAAACTTCATACCCAAAAAGATCTCTGTGTCATTTAGTCACTGTTTGGTGGTCTGTGAGTATCCCCCTATGTTCAGCAAGGCTGAGAGGTCAGCGTCTCCTTGTTCGCTGGTGTCTGTCTTCATTCACCCCTGCAGCAAGTAGTAGACTTCCCTCTCTTCTGGAAATACGCCATCCGAAGGTGGGTGAGGGGTCCCAACCCTTCCCTCTGAGTCTTTATAGCTGAATTTATTTTACACATCAATTAGAAAAAAATTCATGTTGCTCACTAGATACAGTTCCTTAGTATTTTTTTACTTCTTTTAGTCAGCAGTAGCTTCACATAAATTACTATAGAAGCAATGTATAGTCTTTGAATCCTGCCCCAGTCCGCTTAAATACCCCTTCTGCCCTAGCATGGTGAGGACCAAAAATACGTCTCTGTGTAAATATTGCAGTCTAAACACTGTGGCTACGAAGCATGCACAGCATTTTGTCCTACTCCAGTGGTACACTTGTTTTATCTCCTGTTCAAGCAGAGTCAAAAAGAGCTCCTAATCTCCCCGATGTGGCAGGAGGAGAAGGCAGAAGAAAATGTGGATGCTAAATGAAAAAGTGATTGAGAGAAAGAAAAAATCATTAACGCCTGCACGTGCAGGATTACTGGTCCATGTGCAATGCTGTAAGCATTTTTAAATTTCTCTTAAAGAAAAAGAAAGGCATGTAATTCAGATAGATGGCATGGAACTTCACATTTTTTGTGAAATACCTTATTAAAATAGGTACTTGTAACTTTGATGTTACCCAATGAACATTGGACCTTTACCTTTGGCCCCCTTATCTCATTCCTGTGTGGCAGAGGCACAGACCAGGCTAAAAAGATACAGCAATAACACTAGCAACAGTTTAACCTCTGCGAGCTACAGTCTCTCTCATGCATTATCGCTTATACATCCTATGTGGCCACATTTGTCATCCCAACTGTTTTTGTCTTGGCAGGCTTGTACAGTAAGATTTTCTTTCTCAGAACAACAATTTTTTTTTTTGTTACGTTATCTGATAAGTCATTGGATCAGAGGTTAAACTTAGTTTTGTGTTTTGTTTTTTTTTTTTTTCTTTCTGTTTAGGAACTCCTGAAAAAAAAGTGCAGCTTTGGGGCTTGGAAGTTTAAAATATCCCTTGTACTTTGTATCTGAGAGTTGATAAATGATAAATGGGTTGGGAATACAGCAAGACAAGTTGTGCAAGAAGTGCTTCAAGGGGATTTTTGTAATTTTTTTGGTAATAGACGTTGGGTGACGATCCTGAAGATTGAATCAATTAGACTATAGCAGGAATTAGAATACTTAGTATTAGAGTCTAAGAACTTAATTATATCATCTTTTCTCAGGTTGCCAAACAGGCTGGGCTATCATCAGAGCTCGCCCAGAAGCTACTTGAAATGATTTCATCCCCTGCAGTGAAGAACCGACTGAAAGAGACAACGGAGGAAGCAATAAAATACGGGGTGAGATGCTTACCATGCCATTTGGCATCACAGCTATGCATTCCTTCCCTGTTAAGAAGACTGGGAAGCAAGGAACAATGAAGGTGATGATTAGAAAGCACTACATAGACCGTCTCTCTTAGGTGGTCTTTGCTTTTTGAACATGTGAAAGCTAACTCGCTGTTGTTGGTAGTTATCTCATTGTCATCTGGGAAACCAAGGTTGACCCATTCAGCTCATTCCAGCTGGACAGCAAGGATGGGGAGCTACAGGACCAGTAGTAAGGGATACCATTTATTGCTACTTGACATAAAACTGTGGATTTATCAGGTTGCTTTTTTTGCTCCTTCAAAAGGGGCACACAGGCTCTGGAGAGTCCCCTACTTTCTGATGGCTCCATTAGACTCATCTTTAAGAATGAAGAAGGTGAAAAGAAGGGGAGGAAAAAAAGTCAAAGTTTTTGCTTTTTATTCCTGAAGATTGATCATGTGTCTGCAAAAATTTCTCTCATTATAACATTCTCTGTTTCATCTCCATGGTGTCAATAGGCATTTGGGATGCCTGCTGTTGTGGCACATTTTAATGGGGAACCTCATCTCTTTTTTGGCTCTGATCGTTTAGAGCTGCTAGGCAGCATTATAGGTGAGTGTACCAAATAACATCACTTCTGGTTTCGTGCTTTCACCCTCTTTTAATGAAATATGTAACACAGCTAAATAAAACACTCTTAAGGTCTTTCAAATATTAAATAATGTTGGGTATCCTTCTCATTGGATGGAACTGCTGAATGTATCTCGGTACAGTTAGAGTGACCAAAGATGCGTAGTCCTTTTCCAAACTAGAAGTAACGTGCATTCTCCGTCCTCTCTTGGTACGTCTCAAGGCTTTGTGCTCCACGTGCCATTCTCAAATTACTACTGAAACGCTTTCGTTTTCAAAATGTTCATATTTAACCTTCTGGGACTGGGCATTAGGTCTTGGCTAAGATTAAGACTACGGCTGATACTGCTTTTTTTTTTTTTTTTTTTTTTTTTGTAGTTTTAACATTTTCATTTTCTATCTGTTCCTTCTTAATAAAAAGCACATTACCACAGCTGCCCAATCCATAACTTGTAATTACCTAACTACACAAGATTTTAACAGAAATTCATATATTGACCATCCTTCTTTTCGTTTTTCTATTAACAGAATACAAACTTTAAATTTTTAAAGAGAATTGGAATAGGTTGTGATAACTAATAAAACTCAGTCACCTGCTTTTACGTGAGTTAGAGGGCACTTGGCTATTGATCTCAAGATTTGGCACTTGAGAGAGTTTGTCACTAGAAAGACTTAGCACATAATTAGCTCTGATGCATTTGCTGAAAAATTTCAGCACAAAATCTTAATTAATGAAATTAAATTAATCATAGGCTTAAACAGAAGGGAATTTTTTGAGGTTTATTTTCTTTTCTGGATGGGTTTCTGATTCTATAAAAATATTTTTGATGAAAAGGAGAGTGAGGAAGATGAATACCCAACACCCACTCCGATAGTCACTAATCCTATTTGGAATGTTATGGCCTGGTTTCTAGTCTCAACTCCAAGGACTTCCACAGATTTTCCTTCTGTTTCTCTGACTCCCCAGCCCCTCAAAAAAGGAGTCCTGAAAAGAATTGGCTTCACCCTCATGCCACAGACCCGCAGAATCTCTCATCTATGACAGAGGAAAATAATTCTTCTGTACAGCTTCAGTTGTGACTAGAAGAGAGAAGGATTTATGGAGCTGGCTGAAGCACGCCAAACAAGATATAAATCTGTATTCCATCATCAGTAGTTACCCTTCAAAAGAGGAGTAGGAACTGCAGAAATATGACTGGTCAATCACTTCTATGTATTAAATTTTAACTTTCTCTTTTGTGCTGCTTTGTCTTGCAGGTGAAAAATGGCTGGGACCAGTCCCATCAGTTCCAAGCCCCAAGATGTGAAAAGTCCTGGAGAAATACATGAGTGAAAATATATATGTACATGGTCAATCTTCAGTGATTATCTGAATGTATCCAATTTTATGGAGAGATGGCTTTCTCATCCTTATCAGCTAACTTTACGGCTCAGTCTCATCTCTACGAAGAAGTTCAAGGTTTGCCAGTATTAGCAGTCTGGTGAGGTCTTCGCAAATACAAATGTGCTTCTTTTCTTTCAAAAGATAAATGATTAACTTTAAAGATTAAGCATCAAATATTTAACTTCTTGCAGATTAAACATTCTTCTTTCCTGATTAGTTCTCTTTCCC